TGTAAGAAATATGGACTTCACTAGAAACTCATTTCAGAACCATCATTTAAACAGTCATTTTCTAAAATTATTAAACTACAAACATAAGTATCATCGATCGAGTTCTCTAGCTTTTTGTTGCGGCTTTGGTCTTCTGCCCTTTGGGATTACATGAAATTTTATTGCCCAGACTAGAGACAAGGCGTGATAAGACGCGCCTTAATTGGTTGCTGTACCCAAAGGAGTGCGACACAAATTCCTTTGTTACGTAAAAGATTTTAGAAGACTTTTTATTTAAAATTTCCTAAATTTTTTTCGTTTTTCCGGTTGTATTTTGTATTGAATGCAGAAGCGAAAAATCTTTTTTATATAGGAATAATTATAACATTGCAATAAAAACACCTATACAAACAGCATTGCCGAAAAGATATATTTATACCTATTTTATTTATTTATTTATTTGTTCATGTACACACAGACAATACACAGAAAAAATATATATAATAACAAAACAGAGGTACATAGGTACTGCATATCCCTTATGGGATTTCTTCCTGCAGCCCTGCGAAAGGAGAAATAAATACATATAATTATTTGTATGTATTTATTTACCTATATATAAATATAATTATTTGCCCTTCATTTCCTTGTTTATATTGTGACGCAAATAGCTGGGTTGATCAAGTTGACACGTGGATGAGCATTGCCCACTAGGGGACCGCCCGCCTCGACCGGAGTGATACTACGGTCTCACAGAAACCCGGATCTGCAACGTACTTGTAATGCCTTCGGTGTTGTGGGTGTTCATGTTCGGTGCTGATCACCTGTCACCAGGTAATCAGTCTGATTAAATGCATCTCATAAAAATATATGTAGAGTACATATTTGATTTCAATTTAACCATTATTATAATAATGTAGAACTTGAAAAACTTTTAAAATAAACGTTACGTAATAAATCTCATCCCCAACTTAGATCTAAAATCTTTATTGCTAACCGAAACCTGATTTTGTTATAGAAATAGAAATATTTTATCTTTAATATAATACTCCTGTTCCTAAGACGATTAAAATCTATTTTTAAATGAAACCTTCACATTTAGTGATTAATTTTCATTTATAAGGAAAGTAAAGAACTAATGGAATAAATTTATCCTACTAACAATTTCGGAATGTATATTTAATTTATTTATCTGTGTCAGTCTGTAACCATCCCACTACTGAACTAAAGCCTCTCTTATTTTAGAGAAGAAATCAGCACTGGTTACCATACTTGATTAAGTTGAATTGGCGATTTCAGATTTTTTGTAAGACCAGTGGTGCTAGCCTTAAAAAATGCCTTTACAAGCGTGTTTACTTAGAGAGTAGAAAACTCAGTGTATGAGGATGACGTAATAGACAGAGTTTGACACTCTCAGATTGGTAGCCAAATGCAATGTGTAGTCTATTCTACAAAACTGGTCGCTATGGTAGTAGATTGACCCGAGCGTACTCAAAAAGCCATCAGACTACCACGGATGGGGTTACCGGGGCTCCGGCTCAAAGTGCAGGAGTAGGAACGTGGTGGTTTCTAATCAGTAACAGCTTGACCCTCCTTTCCATCATCAGCAAAATAGCCCATCTTTAATCAGCTGTTTAAAAACGTAAGTCATGTCAAGGTTCCTCATAAATTCACTATAGACATATAAAATAGTGGTGTTTAAATAATTTTGAAACCACACGACACAACATAGCGACGGCTTTAGAAAGACTTTTGTTAAAGAAATATTATGCTAAACCACCAAACTTGCAACCAACGAGACATAAATGTAATCTTAAATGTATCAGAAAATATACAAGTATTATTTGAACACTACAAAAAATGTAAATAAGTATCGATTTTTCTTGTCCAACGTTTCACATCATATCTTACGGTAGTGAATGCACTTTGGATGGGAACTCGTCTAGCCGTGGCTTGCCAAATCACCTAATATCAGTAAAATAGCATCCAATTCTGAATAATTTAAGACCATAATATAAAATAAAATTACAAAAATAAAAGTAAAATAAAAATTCGAGAATCGAGAGAATCTTCGACGCTTAGGTAGTTTTAAAATTGAGCGCAGTAAAAATACTTTTTAAGTGGGTAAATAGTAATTTAATAGAAAAATATTATGAAAGAATCACAAATAGTTGCACTCTTATTGCATTAAACAATACATAGAAAACGGTGTAGAGATTTTGATGGGAATTACTCAGATGATTTACGTAATATTTCGTATATACATACCACTGTATTGTTTATTAATTTCTTAGTGCCAGTAAATGAAATGATTTTTTTTATGAAACTGACTAAAATACTGCTGAATTGCTACAGAAAAATAAATCATTTTTATATGAGAACAAGTTTTATTTTCGCATACAAGTCAAGTAAAATGACATAAAAATGAGTACCTATACTTCAAGCGCTTTAAAAACTTTCTTATTGTTGTTCTAAAGTGTAGAGTGCCGACGATATAAAGGACTTCTTTCTGCAAATTCAAATACAATCCATATTGAATCATGTTCCTGTTAGCATAGAGTTTAAAATCCTAGCAAAAGGATATTTTATAGATTTATTGCACCGATGTTTTATATTTTTGTATGCACACAGTTTGATTAGTTTAGGGTATTTGTCTGTTTGTGGGTTTCATGAAAAGTTTATCTTTTGTTTGCGATATTTTTCGCTATGGACATAAAAAAGGTTATATGAATTTTATATTAGGCACCTCGGAAAACATAATGATGGCCGGACATTCTTGTTTTATTAACCTGTGACGTTATTTTCTGGCGTATTAAAGTAAATAGCCTGAGGTTGCTTTTAGAAAATTACGTTGGGCTCAGGAATTTAATAATGTTTGCTTTGGGTCATCGGGGGAATGAATGAAAAATGTACTAAAACGTATTAACTTGGCCCTTGTCAGTTATTTACTGATCTATTTAAGGACTGTTAGTCTCTAGAAAGCTCTCATTGAAGGTCATGTTTTGTTTGCGTTGATTATAAAAACTTTATCGAGAATGAAAAGTAGCTCAACAAAGTTTTTTACAATTCTACCTACATCTTTTTTTCCAAAAAATAATCTTATTATTTCTATGGCATCATACAATTATCTAAATAAGAATATTTCTCAATAAAAATCAGTATTCCGAACTAGCGCAGTAAAGTTTTATCGCATAATAAAAATGGAGTGTTAGAGTTTAGTACGAGTATCGACAATCGAAGAAACGAAAGTCTTTGTTGTCATCACAGCCGGAACAACTAACAAAATAAAATGCGACTGAAATCTTAGTAATCTCACTGATTCCGATACAATAGAAATTTTTATTCCGCCGTTCGGAAGAGGAGATTATGAAGCGAACATCGCTCGAACAATGGCCGCTCAACTCTTCCTGTCATCAAAGATAATAAAGGGGAAAATATCGTGAGAAATTAAAATGAGCTTGAAGCTTGGTCAGTAAACAAGAGGGCGGGGACTCGCAATTTTATTTTCCAATGTCGGATCAATAAGGAGAAGTGGGACACAGGATATTGCTAGACATTGAAATGGAAAAAAAAGCGTTTTAATTACGCCCCCGTCGCTTTGAGATGTGCTAGACTTTAGACTCGTGTTGTGTCCACCCAACCGTTTATTGGACAATGTTTTTAAATAAATACAAACATACATAACATCACGCCTTTTAGCCCTGAAAAGGTAGGCAGAAATGCATATTTACGGCACTTAATGCCATTGTACAGTGTAACACCCACTTTACACTATTTCTGTTATAAGTCCCATGTAATAGGGGGTGAGCCTATTGCCATATACTGGGCACAATTCCAGACGCTGTGCTGAATTTTTTAAAAATTCAGTAACACTTTGTCCGACCCGGCTATTGAACCTGAGACCCTTTGCCCAGCATTCGCACTTACGACAAAACGGCCCACATTGCAGGCTTTTAAAATAAATCTGCGGTCTAATCGTAATGTTTTCTTTATAATTAATCTTTTTAAGCTCCCACTGTATTACACTTTACTTTTTCACAATGATACCCAAATTATTTGCGGATTGACTGATATTACTATTATTGCGTTCAACCCAATAAAATGCTATTCAGCGAAGTATTCACTACTAAAACAACAACGTGGTTTGCCCAGCACTATACATAAAATCAAGTTGCATTCCAAAATATCATTTATATTACCATACTTTTGTTAATCAAAAATAAAAATTCGATTGGTAACTCTAACCATTGATTTGACTGGAAATAAATAAAATAAATTTCTAAAATTCCACAAGCGTATCTAGTTACACGCCGAACCAATTTATGAATAGCACTCAAAATATAAAATAGGTACATGCATAAAAGCCGGGATTACATTCACCAATATTTAAAGTTTATAGTTGGGTGAACCAAATCATGCAAATGGCCTCTAGCTTGCGTTTTTATTTTGAGTAATTGTATTAAAATGTATTCATTATTTAGAATACATATGCATAGTAACATGTGTACTTAGAATCTACTTAGAAATAATGATTGGAATTATATATGATATTAAGTATTGATAGGCTCACCCCCTATTACATGGGACTCATAACATAAATAGCGAAAAGTGGGTGTTACATTGTACAGTGGTATAATGTACATTTCTGCCTACTCCTTCGGGGATAAAAGGCGCGATGTTATGTTATGTTATTAAGTATTGAATGTTTCATTCGGCTATTAATTACTCTATTCGGATCTGATGAAACCTGTTACCATGCAGGCTTATTTAGACTTATAAGAGTTTATATTAAAGTGATACTTATTATACCAATTACAACGAATTAGGATGATAAATCATTTTATTGTTTGAAGACGCATCGTCTTCTGGTTCAATTTCTTCAGCCATAGGCTTTAGACAACCTTCATAAGTATAGACAATCAAATGAACAAAGTCACTTCTAATTCTAGCAACTTATACAAGGTAAAACAGACCTTAAAATATAGTATTTATTTGTGAGTAATCGAAAACATTTCCTTCAGGTGTCAAGATCGACATCCCAGCAAGTGGTGTTACGTCAAGCGACGCGTGCACTCGCCGGCAGATATCGCTGTGAAGTGTCGGCCGACGCCCCTTCCTTCCACACACAAGTGCGGTCAGCATACATCCATGTCGTTGGTAAGTGATATTCTAGATATTGCGCAGATTTTCGATGAAGTTTTATTTTGTTAAATTTAGTTTCTATTAAATATGAAACAAAAATAAATTGACAATGATGCAATTGGCGGAGTAATCGCGCAACATACATACAAAAAACCCATACAGGCGAATTGAGAACCTCCTCTTTTTTAAGTTGGTCAAAAATAGAGAGCTTCTCGTGGAAAATCAACTTTGTTTTTACTTTTAATCGGAATATTCGACATAGGTAAAAGATCCATGCGTGTACTGACAGAATGAAAGTGAAGCTTTAACACGAAGAATAACCAAAGTGAAGATACGATGTGTAGTTTTTAACACAATTATTTGGCTTGTTCAAACTGTTCATGGTCCAGAAAATAGCGTGTTCTACCAAACGAAAGCGAGAAGTAAAACGGAATGTAGAAATGCAAATGTATTAGACCGACGGTCAAACAAAATCTAAGTCAATTTTCTTTAAAATAGAAGAAAAAACGATAACAATCAGCTCATTCAGGAAAAGCAATAAAAAGACGCTCTAAAAGGCTGTAAAAGAAGATTTAATCAAGGCTGACCCCTCGAGAAAGACATTTCTCTATTGACTTCGTTTTTTTTACTTGAAATTAAGTCTGAAAACTAGAATAGTTGGGCCTCACATATCTACTACTACTACTAGGAAAGTAATACGTCTTGCATTTGGTAACATAACGCCTTTTATCGCAGGCAGAGGCATTACGGCACTTAATGCCACTGTACAATGTAACACCCACATTTCACTATTTATGATAAGACTCCCATTTAATAGGGGGTGAGCCTATTACTATATACCGGGCACATTTCAAGACTCCGTGCTACTACTCAGATATTTTTTAAAACCCAGTAATACTTTGCCCGACCCGAGAATTGAACCCGAGACCCCTTGCCCGGCAGTCGCACATGCGACCACTCGGCCAACGAGGCAGAGTGGTTTATTGTTATCAATCATAAGTTACCATCCACATAAAAAGATATAAGTTAGTCTGTTTTTATACGTATTTGAAAATATTTTTCATTTCACCTAAACTTTTTGATTAGCCAATTAATCCAACCGAAACTTGCACGTAGTTATAATTGATCTAAACATTCCAATAACACTTGTGTTTTACTTTCCACTTTAGAACTAGTTGACGAAGCCACACTGAAGCATGAAGGTTATAAACCTTTAGCTCTCTTTGTATAAAAATCTCAAGTTTTCCAACTTTCATTCTACCCGCTTACTTAATAGTCAATTAGAATTTTCTTTTCCCGTTAACAACACTTTTTCTGTTTTCCTTCTAATTAACTGCGTACCTTGCACTATCTAGATAGTTTATTATTTTCAAAGCGTTCTAGAAGGTTGACGATTGACTTTTTGTTTGTATAATAACTATCGTTAGACATAGTAAATGAACTAAAATCGCATTATTTGTGCCGAACACGGAATCGAATCTACTGTCCACGTCACTGGTGAACGTACCGTGCAATTTGATATCGCCGCAAGCGCCGCTGCCCGAGTTAGAAGCAAACGTGTGTGGTTTCTGGCAGAGGCCAAACGTAAACTTATTAAGTATAAAAAATTACGAAATTAAGAGGCCGCGATGCCCTCGCAACGTAAGAAACAACACAAACACAAGCAAGTGGATGCTAGCCAGAAGGCTGCGAGACCGCGGTTGCTGCGCATGAGGAAGAGCCCCTTTGTGGTTCGAAACAAGTAGAGCTTTACTCAGTATATTCACGTGAGTGTCCCGCGATTTATAGTTGATTTACTTTTTGCTATTGATGGAGTATTTTGCTTATTTCCTCGTTGTGTATTTCAATTGATGCTGTTTGTTATTACCATGTGTGATTGTGTAAGCTACGTATGTTTAAAAACCATAATTGACACAATTGTCAAGATTATTGAAGAACTCTAAGGTTTCGGAGCATAACTTTGCTTGCTACTTTTCTTAAAATTGTGTTTTCATGCAAAGCATAATTATAATGCATATATTCTACAGAAATTTTACATAACATCACGCCTTTTTATCCCCGAAGGGGTAGGCAGAGGTGTACATTAGGCCACTGTACAATGTAACACCCACTTTTCACTATTTATGTTATGAGTCTCATGTAATAGGGGGTGAGCCTATTGCCATATACCGGGCACGGTTCCAGACTCCGTGCTACTACTGAGAATTTTTTAAAAACCCAGTAATACTTTTCCCGACCCGGAAATCGAACCCGAGCCCCCTTGCCCGGCAGTCGCACTTGAGACCACTCGGCCAATGAGCTAAGCACCATTTTATAAAATGCAGAAAGAAATGCGTTTAAAATAGACCCGTATACCAAAAACTTTTTTTTTGTACAATACTTTTACATACTACTGCGTACATGATTTATGTACGAAATTGTAATTCTAAGAAAATAACAAAAACTACAATATATTACATACAATAAAAAACTTATACAGAAATAAATTGTATGTATATCTCAACATAATTTGTATGTAGGTAGCCGTATACATTTGGGAGTAAATCTCGTGGTGCGGTAAAATGGCCTCTATTATCATATACACAAAGCCTGTAAGCTATTGTTGGGGACCCATTTGCATGGAGGAATAGCCATCGATCGGGCTACTCGCTTCCTTAGTTGGCAGGATGAGAAGTGACTCAGTATGATCACTTGATTATTATTATGTTGCCATTTGACTATTTAACCCTTAGGTCGACTTCTCAACTTAAGAAGGTTTACCCTAATCTTCCAGCGGGAAGTATATTAGTCCCTTGCAAGGCCCCTGCGACAACTACGGGAAGAGTTGTGATTTCATTCTACTCTGAAACATCTCTCTTTTAATTATTATGTTTTCGGCTTACTCACGTAACTGTTTCACGAGGAACTCGAATAGTTTCAAGTCATGCTAGAGGCTCATATACCTGTGGCTGCCAGGTGGCAGCGCGACAGTCGCCGCGTGGCGGGTCGTGAAATGCTGCTTATGAATACGAGCCTCTGGCATGGCTTGAAACTAAGCCAGTTCCTCATCAAATAATTACGTGAGTAAGCCGATAACATAATAATTAATTTAGTATGTCTTACGAAAGTTATAATATAAATATCTCACTCTCTCTCTTTTCATTAATTTTTCCAGTTTTATTAATGTGTTAATGCATTGCGGTTGAATTCCATTCTTGACTCCATCTTAAGATTTTGGAAGTGGAAAAGCTGAGGGTAGACCATAACCTTGTATTCAGCCGTCCCTTTTGCGACCACTCGCGTAAACAGTATCTCACATTGAAACAATACAAGATAATCGAATATAAATATGATCAAACCGGTCAAATTATTCATGCTGATCAAACGTACCATTGCGGGGTTGAATGATTTCATTGTCTTAATAAGAACCAATACCCAATAGGCGCTCAATGTTCAAATATAGATATTAATCTACACCCATGTTATATATTTTGTATTATAAGGGCTACCATATATCATTGTTCCGTGTAGCAGTACTTATGATTAGTGTTATTTAATATATAGTTAAGATATTTTGAATAACGCAAAACTGATGTTAAATATGATGGCCAAAACTGCACTCCAAGCTTTGGTTCAATACATTGGTCTTCAAAATTTTATAGGAATTTGAGGGGACTTGTTAGGAATTCGAGGATTAGGGGGATTGTGGAAGCGGGTAATTGGGCCTCCAGTAACCTCACTCACACGACGAAACGCAACGCAAGTGTTGTTTCATATCACTTTTCTGTGAGGCCGTGATATCACTCTGGTCGAGCCGAACCATTCGGGCCGAAGCATAGCTCTCCCACACTTAAAATATTTAGTTTAGTTTATATTCCTTTGAAAAACTTATTTTGGAATAATTATTGTTATAACATGTGTACCAGTTTTCTTTCTATATTCTTCTTTATTATGTCAATTTACTTACTTACATGGTACAACGTAAACATGTTGGCTTAAAGTTTCATGCAGAGCCGATGCCCATTCCATACTCTTCAATATTCAAAGTACATATTGGGAATGAGTGGATCGAAAAAAATACTATTAGAAACTTTTCCGAACTTAAAAATGCGGTCAGGTGTTCTAGCCAAAATGGATTTTTGTGTCGAAATTTTTCAGTGTATAATATTAGAACGATATCGATCGGCTAGCTTTAGAAACTATCGGGAATTTTTATCTGGTTCAGTGAACACGAAAAGTTTTCGTGTACAAATAGTTGTGAACTTTACTGTTTTGTAATATAGTTGAAAATCTAATAAAATTGGTGTAACTTGGTGTCATAACGACGCGCATAATTATATTCCATCATTGTTAATTATGAAAAAGTTGTGCTCAACTTGTTAATTTATATTTTGTATAAATATAGAAACGCATAATTTTATTCTTCATATTTCGAGCGAAAACTAACACAATCTTAGACGAAATCACAAAACGATTCTTTATAAAAGTTAATAATATTATAAGAATTCAGATAACCGTCAATTCCCAATTTTACTCGGCCATTGAATTTCTTGAACTGTTTTCAACAAAGATGTTAAAACATTTGTAAATTATCTGGGACACGGGCTTTTGGCACAAGACACAGGTACACAAAATGCCAAGAGATTCCACAGCTGTAAGCGCCATCAAGTTGATGCTACGACTAGTAAATGTAAGAATTAAGGTAAGATTCATATTTTTATGTGATTCACTTTGTTTTATAACCAATTGTAGTTTATCATGAAGTTTATATTTACGTTCTCCCATACAGATAATTCTGGACATCACTGCTGCGTAAACCCGAAAATATCAATAACAACAGAACGTTTATGGGTCATTTATCAAAACGTCACGAACAAAATTATTATTATAGCAACTTATATAGGTCCTTTTTATAACACAGAGGTCGGAAAATCCTTTAGCACTCCTTCGTGCGGTCAACCATTTTGTTCATTTTTTTACTGACAACCCTGCCGCGTACAAATTGTAACGTCTCATTCCTTTGAATATGGTTAATTTAGTGGACTCCCTAGTCGACGGATTTTTTCCTAAAGTTTCATATAAAAAGTTGAGAAATAAAATGGTGGGTTTGTGTGTGTGGCCTTATATGTAAATGCTTGGTGTTTGAACGTAGAGATGAATGGTGGCCCTAATATATAGAGAAATGTGACTCCCGTTTGTAAACTGGTCAGGTTTTCGCATGAAAATAAAAGAGACGGGATTCGCGAATTTATTTGAAAAGCGCAATGAGTTAAATTAGTATTATGTAAGTTTTAATTTCTGTGTATGGGGGTAGTGTAATGAAGAATGACTTAGGGCTGATATTTCAATCATCAGTTAATTCTTCACTGTAGAATAAAATTGACACTTGACAGTTTTTACAATGAAAAATTGTTAAATACCTTTTCAAAGTTATTCATAAGTTACAATTATTTATCTGAGCATTGAAAAATTGGCCCTTAAACTATGAAGTTCATGTAAACATATTGCACATAACTACTTTACATGTGTTTGAGTTGTTTAAAGATGTAAAATAAAATAGATACAAGATGTCGTTTTTCTGTCTACTAAATTACATAAATCATTTGCTTTTTATAATATCCTTTTTATGGGGGCAAAGCATTAAATGACTTCTCCCACCTGGGTGAGGTTAGAAGGAATATCATACTCTTACTGACTAAAAACTACTCCGTTCCTACTCCTGCACGTCGAGCCGGAGCCCCGATAACCTTTTACGCTCTCCGCGGCTCCGTATCGCCATCAGTCCTATTGGGTCGCGCCGTATGCTCATTTCTTGTTTTAGCTGGGTGGCGAGCTACCCGTGCTCGCCATCCGCAAGCCCGTGACGTTGCAGCTATAATTTAGTTCACTTTTATTTTTAAAACATTTATTGTACTTTTCGAAGGGAATTTTATAGAACATTTTATTAGTAATTTTTCATTTACAGCCTTTTAAAAAACCAGGATTGATGTAGCTATAAATTTTGTGGCTTCATTTTGAGGCAGATTTTTACAAGTCCATTGTACAGGTTGGTTTTAATGAAAATAGGAGTTTTGGTCCTGCCTGTCGTATAGGCAAAACAATGAGTGATTTATGTAATAAATCGGTAGTACTTATCGAGTGATTTACCATATGTTTTCTTTAAATTAACTAACATTAATAATGGATAAGGAGGACTGTATTAAAATCAAAACTACACGTTCAAAAGCACAAACAGCTTAGTATGTTAATAAG